GGGGGGGGGAGGAAGAAAGAGCGACAGCAAAGCGAAGATCGTGACCTCCCCCAACAAGTGAACCTTGCACATATGTTGTGTAAAGTGTGTGCAAAACAGAGCCCTCCTGCGTGGTGCGTGTGTGTTTCGCTGCCGCCGCCGCTGCTGCCGCCGCCGCCGCGGTCGGTGCCTCTCGCAGGCGGCGCTGCCGGTGCCGGGGAGACGCATCATTTGGCGGAGCGAAGCGGCTAATTGCGGAGCCCCGTCCTTCATTTACATATGCAGCCTGAGTCCGCTGGAGCCGCGCCAATCCGCGCTCGCCCCCAGCACCATTAATCGCCATGCATTATTCACAATCATAATTACAGAGCCCCATGCGCGCTCCGCGCAGCCGCCCCAGCCCGCCGCGCACACCCCGCCGCACCGCGCACACCCCGCCCGGCTAATCCCCCACTCGCTCACCCACTCACTCCCAGTTTGGTTGGCTGCTTAGCTTTGCTTTTTTTTTTTTTTTTTTTTTTTTCCCCCCTCTTTTTTTTTTTTTTTTCCTCCCGTGTCGTTGGGTTGGTTGCCTTTTCTGTTGTTGTTTGTTCGGTTTGTTTTGCAACTCGACTTTTATTTGCGAACAGTTCTTTCCAGCCCCCCATCCCCTCGTTCCCAATTCCTCCCCCCCTTTCCACCTCCACGTCGCTGATGCCTCTGCAAAAAGCAGAGTCAAGACGGCTCAGTTAGCAGCATGTCTCGTCGAAAGCAAGCGAAACCCCAGCATCTCAAATCGGACGAAGAGCTGCAAGCGGAGGTAGTTTCTGAGCACGGTAAGGGCTCCCGGCGCCTCTTTCTCCTTCTCTCTCTCCTTTTGTGAGCGCGTTTCGGACGGAGATAGGTGGATTTATGGTGATGGTGAACATGGGAGCGCAATTACTCTGCAGCGGGAGAATGGGAATTCGAGCAGCTGGGGGAAGAGGCAGCGGAACTGAGAAGTTCGCAGTTTAGCCAAGTTTCTCGCAGCCCACCCCCTGACTAACCAGCCCTCCCAGCAGCTCCCTCCCGGCCTCCCGAGCGCTTTTATCGCGGCCGGGCTCGCCGGCGGGGCTCGGCCCTCCCTCCGCCTTCCCCCGGGCTCGGCCGGCCGCATCAGCCGGCACCCCGGC